CGTGAGACGAGTGTCTGGTGTGGCCGCGCCCCCACGAGTGTGTATTAGCTACTGTGCTTGTGTGTACATTTGAGGAAACAGCCCTGGAAAAAAGTCGCCCTAGAAAGTGGAAAAAGAGCCCTGGAAAATGAAAAAGTAGCCCCCGAAATTTTGGGGGGTTTTGCAAAAAGAGCCCCGGAAAGAAAAAAATTAATTTTTCCACTGGTTCACGTGTATTACTCGAAACAGAGGTAATGCCTGACACACACTTAAGTAAGTTTGGGATGTCAGGGAAGTTCTAGTAAGTACCTGTTTCTCGCACAGAGCCATGCAGTCATCAAGCTTCTTGGTGAGGACCTCATGTTCCTCATCGTACTGCGCAATCTTCTCTCTGCGAGCGGAAACAATGCATGAATACAAACAAAGCAATAAGCAATAGGAATAAAGCAAGCTCAGAGTAAATGTAGATCACAGAAACAAGTTATTAGGCATGTTCATACTCAATCATTGCAGGCTACGGATTTGAACACCTGATTAGTGACACATTAAGCCATTTGTAACACAAGTGACTGAACGATGAAATGTAGATGATGAAATGAATGTCAATGTGGTCAACCGTGGAACAGACCAAGTTAGATTTCAACAGTAATATTTCAGCAACCATCATGCAGTATGTTGTGATATCATAATCAATCACAGAACGCTATGTTTATAATTGTGTAACCTGTAGTGTTCTAGTAACTCTCGTGACGGTCTGAGATTCGCCAGCCGCTCAGCAATGCTTGGCAACTCGTCAGCTTGCTTTTTACGTTTCGGGGACTTCGATCGACCATTATGATTGTTCTTTGGCTTTGCTGTGTCTGTCCTGCTCACGAAAAAATTTAATAATTTGACATAGCGTCACAAACGCTCAACATTATTATCATAACTTCATTTCTATTTAAATTTGCCATTATTCATCACAACGATGATTGTCAGATTGTAATAACACTAACACTAGTAACAGTAATTTATAAATCATATGAATGATGTAGGCCTACGCAACAAATACCGTTTATGATATTATATACACAGATAGAGAAATTTGGAGTGAAATTTGGTTGAATAGTAATACTCTAAGACATGGAATCGTCACCATTATGCGAAATCTACATTAACAACGTAAAATTATGATAATAAACCTGAATGTTTGGGTAGTTTGTGCAGATTTTGTTGCGGCTGACGCCATTTTGAGTGTTCCGCCGAAAGCAGGTCCGTAAACAGAGTACACATTCGCCACTCTTATAAAGCTCGCCCAATTAAAGTACTCGTTTCATGTCATGAATACTGTAAACCGAGCCTCCAGAAATCAATCCGCAAAAATGTAATGGGAATCTTATAAAACGCATATAAACCGTGGCTTGTTACCAAATCGTTACATAAATGATGTATTTTTTACGTTGTTTACGTAAGTGAGTAAAAACTAAGTAATAATAATACAAGTCTAATGAAAAAACTGCTTCACCGCCCTCGGATTACTTTATATGCTTACCGCGTATAAGTGGTTTACACTTGGATGTTGTTAGGCACCAGGTTGTTGTTGAAAAATTTGTGATTACAGAAGCTGTTTTCTTTTGTTTAGGATAATGTAAGTTATCTTTAATAACACTTACACAAACATCTGAAACATCTGAAGGATGTTTTCCCCCGAGGAGTTTATTCGCCCACCCGAGTGCCCCGTATATCATCCACTCGGAGACGACTGGCTCGACCCCCTTGGCTTTATTGCAAAAATAAGACCAGAGGCAGAGAAGCATGGGATATGTAAAATAATACCACCGCCGGTAAGCAATACATATCTATGTAGCAGGTGTGTAGAAAGAAAACCATTAACTTACGTGTCAGTCGTACAGATCAACTTCTGATCAGGTCACCGATAATCTATCGGAGCACAATCATCACAATGGAATGGACGAGAGCACATTAACTAATTGGCATATGCTGATTGTTGCGCAATCAATTGTCACTGGTAGTTAACACAAAATCAGAAGAAACCCACATGTCATGTAGTTTAAACTAGTAATAGTATGTGTTGACTGTGTGACCAGCCTGATTTCCCCTATCAGTATCACGCTAAATGTAAGGTGAAAATCGGGCGGGGATCGTTCTATCTCAAATCACGTCAACGTGGCAGCCATGATTCTCGAGCTAAAGTCGATCCATCCCTTTCTCAGTCATATGCTGAAATGTCACAAAGTTCAAAAAATGCAAAGCTAAAACTTCTGATTCATTCTCTGAATTGTAGACTAGTCGTGAATTACTTATTCATGTTTTGAAGTGAATCCGAGATTAAAGTGAACGGGGACATTTCGTATGCTGAACTGGGTGACCCACAAGTCGATGTATATAGAGTCGTGTAAGCCACCTGGGAGATTACCGAGTCCTCATTGTATGTTCTAGGAGTGGCAGCCACCCTTTGCTATTGATGTGGACAGATTTAAGTTCTCACCACGTATTCAGAGGCTTAGCGAACTAGAGGTAGGTGAAAACATCTATTTATTATGGACCACGAATAGCTGGAATGACATGGACTTTTTAGAAAGCAAATAATGTGCTTGCATTTGAATTACAGAAGAGTTTTGATCTGAATAATTTTGGAAAAAATCTGATCCTTTTGAATAATTTTTGTACTATATCTGGGCATTGTTACGAGACACAGCCGATTGGCAGACAACCCTTATAATAGCGTCCACATGTTTTTTTATCTCGCAGGCGACAACACGCGTGAGGCTGGAGTTTTTCGACAAAATTTCCAAGTTCTGGGAGCTTCAGGTAATTGTAAAAACCACATGTTTTTATTTATAAATTTGATCTGAATGAATGCATTTGGGAATATATCCGTATGCTAACGAAAGGATGAGAACTTATATGTTTTGATGTATCGTGCATTTATTGTTATGTAATTCACTCTACAGGGGTCGCCACTGAAGCTTCCCACTGTTGACAAAACAGTGTTGGATCTGTACAGGCTGAGAAAGGTGAGGAATCTTGACTTCATCATCAACAAATGTCTGGCATTAAAATTATATATAAATCGAACGAATTAAAAACGAATTTTGAAATCTTTAGTAAAATAGGCAGCGGCATGTACGATCTTGAAATCTCTATGTTAAAATGGCCGGCTCTTTCATATCTGACACTAGAAACTATAATGCTAGTACAAGACTGATCAGTCGTGTGCACACTCGGCTCGTAAACCGCGAGGAGTAACCCAAGCTCGTGCTCAACCTTCTTCGTACTTTGTCGTCTAGGTGGTGAAGGATGAGGGAGGGTACGAGACTGTCACACTGCGAAAGCTCTGGCCGAATGTCAGCCGGCTCATGGGGTTCATGTCGACGCCCAGCAAGGGCATGGCTGGAATGCTGAAGCAGCACTACGACAGGATCCTCTACCCGTACGATATCTTTGCAGCCGGATTACGCCTAAACAAAGAGGTGAGGCGAGCAGGGTGTCGTTCTGTGATGCCTATCAAAGATGGGTTGAAGGATGGCTTCATTTCCCTGGCAATCAATCAACCCCAAAACTACTTGAACGTCGACTCAGCGCATTTCTGAGTAGCGATGCATTGTTGTTTTTTATTAATATTTTGACTTTTTTATTAGTCATCGTTCCTTGGATTGTGTAACGTCATTGTTACGAGGTTACTAGTAGCACAAAGCAACCAGAATAAGAAGGTCGGACGTTTTAGGTGCAGTAGCGTATAGGTAAGATTAGTCTTCAACGTAAAATTCACACCGCTATTGCGCACACGTTCGCAGGGCGGCCAAACCAAGACGGGAAAAGACGCGAAGTCGAACGCCCAACGGCCAGAATCGGTGACGTCGCGACGATCGAAACGAGTCGCCAAGGAGGCGATCGTCGAGGTACGGAGCGTGACACCACATAAGTCGCTCGATACCGCGCGTGACGAGCGCGCAGATGGCTTCGAGACGTTAATTTTAAACGTCGCAGTATACATGGTATATGCTGCTGATACGTCAGAGCCACAGCCATTTTGATCAAAGCTCTGACGCTCGCTACAGTTGATTTTATTTGTACGTTATTCACATTATATATGTATGTTATTACGATGTGTTTGTGTGTCTGTGTTTGTGACTAACAGGAGAAGATATCCGTCGACTACGAGGCCAACAAGGAGCTGAAACGACTGCAGTTCTACGGCCCAGGACCAAAGGCAGCTGTTACATGTGTTATAGGTATAGCTGAGATTGCATTGTTCATCTGCTAGTGTTTTACTCATTTATTATTGCTGACTGAATTTATCCTGCTCGCTTTCTCAGGTTTTACTTGTTCTAACTGCAAATCTGAAGACGGACGTGTAATTTTCAATCGATTAAAAATCATTTAAATTCGACTCGAGTATTGGTCAGATTATGAGTTGTTATGTAAACTACCGGCAGTGGAAAACGACAGTTCCTTTACATCCCTCCCCCCCGGATATGTTTCCTTTCTATGGACTGTCGAAATGCAGCAGAGCTGTGCACTTGTTTATAGGCGAGACGTTTGCAGGAGACAAAGATCAAGCAGGTGGCGCCACCAAGGGCAGGGAGACGAAGCTCATCAGTTATGTGAGTGCGCACAATGAAGTCACTCGAGTAGATCTAGTAGAAATTCCCGGTGGTCAGTTAGCCTCTCAAACGTGAATCTAGATGGTACGCGTGGGCTGTAGGATGGTGTCTAGGACCTATCGTGATGCTCTCTTACTGTGGTGTCTTGTACCGTGATCTACAGTGACGGAGGGGAAAGGTAACTGTGGTTTGTTGCTTCTGGAATCGGTAGGTGGGGCGTGTGAGATGTTGCGGGGTTGTGAAGAGTTAGAATGTGCACCTGCTACATTGTGAAGATGTAGCAGGTTGTGAGAGGTTAGGTTGTGAATCTGCTACCATGTGTGGGATGTAGAAGGGGCTGTGAGGGCGTAGAATGTGCACCTGCTACATTGTGTGAGATGTAAGAGGTTGCGAAAGGTTAAATAGCACACCTGCTACCATGTGTGAGATGTAAGAGGTTGTAAAGGGTTAGATAGCTTGCATGCTGCACTGTGGAAGATGTAAGAAGTTGTGATGGGTTAGATAGCATACATGCTACCATGTGTGAGATGTTAGCGGTTGTGAATGGTTAGATAATACACCTGCTATAGGCCTACTGCGTCAGTTATAGTGGAAGACTAGATATGTAAAGGGCTTAGAAAGTTAGAATAAATATAGACGTAGAGAGGGCTACTAGATCTACCAGCCATCACATCAACGCCGCGTGTCCTCCCTCTGCAGGCTGAGAAGTATGTGTGTCTGACGTGCGGGCGAGGAGAGGAGGAGGACAAGCTGCTGATCTGCGAAAGCTGCGACAACACCTACCACATGTTCTGCCTCGTGCCACCGCTGCCCGCGCTGCCCTCTGGCGACTGGAGATGCCCTCAATGCGTGCGCCAGGTCGGTAATCGCGCGCGTCGACAGCGCGGCGCCTGCGTGGGAAAGCCTGTGGGGGCTACATGTATAGATGTAGTGCTGTGTTAGGGTTAGGCTTGGCTTTTAGGGTTTAGGATTAGGTTTTGGGTGTCACCGTGCAATAATGATATAATGCAGCGGGATGCGTTGCATACGTTGGTGCATCATTGAGTGCGTTATTAGTACAGCGGTCTGATTTCACACGTCCGCTTAGTGGCTGACTTGTAAACTGCAAATTAACGTGATGTGAAACGAGGTGATGCGAAGTGATACAGGACGATCCGACGGCCGAGGGAGCCTTCCACTAAGGGAGCTTAGTGTTTATCGTTAGCGATTAGAGTTAGGGTTATTGGTTAGAGTTAGGGTTAGAGTTAGGGTTAGGGTTATTGGTTAGAGTTAGGGTTAGGGGGTTAGAGTTAGGGTTAGTGGTTAGAGTTAGGGTTAGGTGTTAGAGTTTGGGTTAGTCGTTAGAGTGAGGGTTAGGGATTAGAGTTAGGGTTAGTGGTTAGACTTATGGTTAGTGGTTAGAGTTAGAGTTAGGGTTAGTGGGTTAGAGTTAGGGGTAGGGTTGTGCCGTGGAATAACGATAAAACATGGCGTGATGCACTGCATACGTGACGTCATTACCTCCGAGTAATCGTCGTCGCTCGTCCCGCAGGAGTGCGACAAGCCAAGGGAGCCGTACGGCTTCAACTACACGACGCGGCAGTACAGCCTGCAGACGTTCGGAGAGATGGCCGACACCTTCAAGGCGGAGCACTTCAACATGCCCGTACACGTACGTGTCGACAGTCTAACGCACTGACGGTCCAACCACTCGAGTAGAGTAGTGAATCTCTCGACCGCTCGCACTCTTGCACAGTTGTTTCGTGAATTTCTTTTTTAGTTATTTGCTGAGGTTAAGGCGACTTGCTGTCGTGAGGTTATGGGCAACGTTGATTCTGGTGGAATAAAATCATAGGCTGCTCGGTCGCGAATATTGATTTTACTCGCTTGATAAAATCATCGCATTCCGGAAATACCTAGATGCTGTAACCGGTATATCTCGTGCCACTAAAGGAGGCTACCCTTCATCCATTAAACCTATAGTATTACGTCAGTACTTCCGTATCGCAAAATTAACATGCTAAAGCACCGTTCTACATGCTTTCCCACCAAAAAAAAAAAACTAAACAAAAAAACAACAAAGAAATTGATGCGATTAATTCGTTTTTCTCGCCGCCAGATGGTGCCGTGCGACGTCGTCGAGCGCGAGTTCTGGCGTCTGACGCGCGAGGTCGCCGAGGACGTGTCGGTGGAGTACGGCGCCGACGTGAGCACGCGGGAGAGCGGCAGCGGCTTCCCGACGGCGGCGACGAGGCAGCTGTTCCCCGACGACGATGAGCAGTACGTCAGCGCCCCCTGGAACCTCAACAACCTGTCCGTGCTGAGCGCGTCCGTGCTGCGCTACATCAACGCCGACATCTCCGGCATGAAGGTGAGACGTCCCCGCGAGACTGAGCGACTGAGCGAGAGATTCGCGCATCCCTTCCCGCGGCTCCGCCCGGCTGCCTGAGATACCCACGGCAATTTTTTCATCCTTCCCTCTGACTATGCGTGACCAATGAGAAACCTCTTCGTTCCTTTCCTCCATCGGTTATCTGTCCTCCGCTAATTGATGGCACTTATGGTCGCGTGCATCACAAGTGTTCGTGGGTGACAGAGATTGGGCGGACCGTACAGGTGGCTCCATGAAGGTCAAGGAGACGAATTTGTCATTTACGTGAGTGCATGCAATGAAATCGCTCGAGTAGAAGATTCAGGTGGTTTGTTAGCCGGCTGGCGGGCCCTCGAGCATGAATATATATGGTCATGTCTCGGCTTAGTCAACATCCGCTCACACCTTGTTCGAAGTTGGATCCTGCGATAGAGCAGTAGGGAATGAACACTGCGTGTAGAGATGGCAGCCGGGTACGGGCGCGAATGATTTCGGGTTACTGTTATTGTTACGTGCGTCCGTTTAACCGTCTCTGTGTTGCTGCGGTGTGTGTTTAGGTGCCGTGGCTCTACGTTGGCATGTGCTTCTCTGCCTTCTGCTGGCACATAGAGGACCACTGGAGCTACTCCATCAACTATCTGCACTGGTGAGTATGCTCAGATGTTTGAATTTTGCGCGAAGAATGAATACGTCTTCCTCTGTTGGCACGTGGTGACTGTAACGACTTTGTTCAGTGTTGAAGAGTAAAACTCGATTTCTGCAGCTAAATTGATTTTACTTTTATAGCAAAAGCGACACACACACACACACACACACATACACACACATTACATTGTAGTTGCAATTGGAATACATTACATGTTATGTTACATCACGTGACATTACGTGTTTTGTTACGTTATGCTACGTTTCACTGTGTTATGTTACATTACGTGTTATGTTACATTACGTGTTATGTTACGTTGGCTGACATTACGTTATGCTACGTTTCACTGTGTTATGTTATGCTTCACTGTGTTATGTTACATTACGTGTTATGTTACGTTGGCTGACATTACGTTATGCTACGTTTCACTGTGTTATGTTACGTTTCACTGTGTTATGTTACATTACGTGTTATGTTACGTTGGCTGACATTACGATATGCTACGTTTCACTGTGTTATGTTACGTTTCACTGTGTTATGTTACATTACGTGTTATGTTACGTTGGCTAACATTACGTGTTTTGTTACGTTTCACTGTGTTATGTCACATCACGTTACATGGCATTATGCTACATTACGGAACCGGACGATACATTACGTTTCATCATGTTATGTCGCATTACGTTACGTTACGTTACGTTACGTCGCTATCGCCTCTACGTCGGTTGTAACGCACACGCTGTGTCTCGTGCCGAGCAGGGGCGAACCGAAGACGTGGTACGGCGTGCCGAGTCGCGACGCCGACCAGTTTGAAGCGGTGATGAAGGCGCAAGCGCCGGAGCTGTTTGAAGCGCAGCCGGACCTACTGCATCAGTTAGTCACCACGCTGCATCCCAACCTGCTCATGACCAAGGGCGTGTCGGTGAGTGTCGCGCGCGGACCAGGGTAAAAAATACACGGGAGCGATCCGAGCGATGAGCGATTCGCTCTTCAAACCTCTCCTAAAATCGCTCGCGTGAGGCTCAAAATAGCTCCCATGAAATTTTTGACGAGAGCTGTTTTTTTCACAGACTTGAAAAAGAGCTCCCGTGAAAAAAAAAAGTATTTTTTTCCCTGGCGCGGAGGCTGTTGTCTCGCGTGTCTCATTGTCTCACGTGCTGCGGTCATGTGTGTGCGTGCGTGCGTGTGCATAGCTCACCGAGACATATATGTATGTGTGCGTAGCTAACAGAGGTGTGTGTGTGTGTGTGCGTGCATGCGTGTGCGTGCGTGCGTGGGTATGTGTGCATGCGTGTGTGTCTGTGTACATAGCTTTCAGAGAGATGTTCATATGTGCATGGATTCAGTAGAAGAAATGAACTTCTTTGAATCGGCATTCGAGACTCACCTGCCGTCAAGAATTGGTTCGACTTCGGAACGAAGGCACAACTCCGCAGAAACTGAATCATTCACGAGGGATCGAGCGAAAGTGGCAAACTGCTTGCATTGCTTCTTGTTTGTCGAGTACTTATGCGTCGTTGTGCTGCGCGCGTCGTTGCAGGTTGTGCGTACGGACCAGCAGGCTGGTGAGTTTGTCATCACCTTCCCGCGCGCCTACCACGCAGGACTCAACCAGGGATACAACTGCGCCGAGGCTGTCAACTTCACACCGGCCGACTGGGTAATTTCACACTTTCTATGCGGCATTTTGTTCTGGTTTGACACGGTCCAGCTAAGTCGAGTGCTCTCCGGAGAAGATGCCGCCGGTATTTATTGGCATAATTAATTATCCTAGATATTATTATCAGATTGATTATTATCATAAATAATAATTACTTAATTATCATAATTTCATTATGTTATTAAAGGTGATTTTATTATTATTATCATCATTAACTACATTGTTAAATATCAGTTATTATTTACTTGAACGAGTTTAGTAATTACAATTAAGAATAATTAGCAATAGCACAATATATAGTGATTGATACCTGTGGATATAAGCCAATCTAGACTCTATTGCATTACAGATCTAGCTTAGACACAGAATACCTTCGCGTCTCTACAATAGTAATAATCATCTGAATATTTGCCATGTGCAATCCTGCAGATATCTGTCTCTACAGTAGTAACAATAATCGTTATCCGAGTGTCTCGCGCGTGCGTTGCTGCAGATACCGATGGGGCGTAAGTGCATCGAGAACTACCGGCTACACCAGCGCCACTGCGTGTTCTCTCACGAGGAGCTCGTCTGCAAGATGGCCGCCGACCCAGACGTGCTCGACCTGTCAATCGCCGCGGCAACGCACACCGACATGCTGCTCATGGTCGAGCAGGAGAAGAAGCTGCGCAAGGCTCTGCTGGAGAAGGTAAGAGGGAAGGAGGAGAAGCAGGGAAAGAGAGGGGAGAGGGGAGGGGGAGAGAGAGGGGAAGGAAAGAGGGGGGAGAGAGAGAAAGAGAAGTAGAGAGGGAGAGAGAGAGAGATAGACAGACAGAGTCAGAGAGAGAGAGAGAGAGAGAGAGAGAGCCAGCAAGAGAGAGACAGAGGAGGGAAGAAAGAGGGAGATAGTGGGAAAAGGAGGGAGGATAACAGATGGAGAGTGATTAAGAACGAGAGAGAGAAGGGATATAGGGAGAGACAGAGAGAGAGAGAGAACATTATGAGAAACGTGAGAGGGCGGATATGGGCTGTAGTGTAATTGGTAGTGAGTTCAGGAAAGACTCACATTTGACAGAGACAGTAGAGTAAATAGTATTTGATGCAGTGATGTGAAGCTCGCGTGTGTTCGTTGCCTAGGGAACGACGACGGCTGAGAGAGAGGCGTTTGAGCTGCTGCAGGACGATGAGAGGCAGTGCTCGTACTGCAAGACCACCTGCTTCCTGTCTGCCGTCACCTGTCCCTGCAAGCCAGGTACGCCGCCCGTGCGAGCACGCTCGTTAGACCCCGCCTACGAGCGCCATCGCCAGCTTAACGAGACCTGCCCTATTTAATCGGACGCCGCCTAATTAAGCGGAGTCTGCTGCAGTCTAGGCTATGATGTATTCTCTATGCTCACGATTTGGATTTAATCTAGAGGGAAATTATTGCCCCCTAGGGTACTATTTACTTGTACTAGTATATATATATATATATATATAGTTGACGAAGGTAGTAGTATAACCTTACGTTCGTACTACTATATAT